ATTATATTATTATAATTTTTTGATTATATACGTAAGGCAACTAAAGCCCACTTAATCAAATGGCTTTGTGGAATACAAATGTTCTGTCTACAAGAAATCTGAATTATTAAATAACAATTGAATTGTAGCATTACATTACAATTGTAATATATTGATCTACAATCAGATCTAAAAATTTAAACATATGTCAAACGGGGGGCTTGCAAGAAATTCCATAAAGGTCTACCCTAGATCCCCTTACTCAAACCAAAGGTCGGCTTTAAAAAACGAGAGCATAGAAAATATCGGATTACAACTGATCTGGTTAAAAGATGCACCAGAGTTTGATTATTCGATTTAGTATGAGAGGAGATATAGAATCCGTGCAAACTTTAATATGGCAATTAAGCTTTAATTACAGCTTTCAACCGATTCTCAAAATCAACAAATTGAAACTGTATGTATGAGTGAGTGTTATGTGGTTGTGCGACATGTATGTGTGTTTGTGTGTGTCTGGTTGTTGTTTTTGTATTGGAATGTGTCACAGCAGCTGCTTTTGTTCCATTTACTGTGCACAATATCGATTTTTCATATGGGCGCAAACCCAGCTGCGGTTGCACTTAAATTATATAAACAATATCAAAGACACAATGACACAATGTCCATTTGACAGCAATTGAAAACAATTCGTTATTACGTGCCGGCATCGGCGTGGCCCAAACAAGAGCCCCGTTATATAATGGAAATATGCCAAATAGTATTTGGTGTGCGTGCAAAATGCTAAATAGCTCCATTTTTGGCCAGCTGCCGCAGTTGCTCAAATATGAATTAATATGCGATTTCATTTGGGCGCTCCCAGTTGTTCGGCTGATTGCTGTTCCGTCTTACCTGACTGCCGAGTACAACAATTTGCGGCAATTGTATTGAGTCAGAGCCGACGGTGTTGAAGACATCTTGCAATTTGTTGATAACTGGAATAAGCGCCTCCATTCTTCAGTCAGCTGGCAGTAGTGTAAGCACGCTTTAGCTCGCTCTCTGTCACAATTCGCACAATAATTTGCTTAATGCCTATTTAAATTCTAACACATTAATACTACGCGTTGTTGGGGATTTGATTGACGCGAGAGTGTGTGGTAAAAACTTTTTTGCAAATTTTGACAGGGCTGAACAAGCGTTGACCCCCTGAGAGTGTTGCCAGATCAATGAAATGAGTTCGTGTGTATTTCACTCGCAAGCAACACCGATTACCTCAAATGAGTGCAGTGGTTAGTGGTGCAGTATAACTTGCAAATTTAACTCGATATGCATTTTGATGAAAAGTTAATATTAAATATATACAAGTTTTATAATAGCCTAGTTTTGAACGTAATACATGTCACATTATATGTACTTTTGTGGTGGTACTCGAACATTCAACAGCACTGTTTGAATTGCGCGCGGTTCAACAAGTAATCGATATCATTGACTGCAATATAGAGCGCGCACTATGAAATTATTTAAAATTGAAATGTTTATCTTATCATTGACGCCTCACTTGTTGCGTTGTAAAAGTAGATTAAAATAACACTTAATAAATATTTAAATGATGAAATTGATAAAAGTGTTTTATTTTTAAATATTTTGTAATTCTAAATTAAATTTCATTGGAGTGCTGAAAGTTGCATCTTGCACTTGCTCTTTAAATAAGAAATAAGCTGAAATAGAAAATTGAGTTTGAATTAGCCGCAACCACAAAGACATCTCGTCGAAGCCTCAATGTTCGATTGAAAAATTTAACAAAGTGGCAGGCAACAATAGATTGCAGCAATCTTCATGCTTCATTCAATACCCCGGTAGTTATCCGTTCTACGCTTTTATGGATTTTAGTTTTCTTTATTCTCTTTGCACTTTTTTTTTTTTGCTTTAGACTGACAAACAAAATGTGTGGTGTATATGCGAGTGTGTGTGCTTCATTGTGCAAACTTAATGATATGGGCCCAGCTAGAGCTAGTACCATGTCCATGGCCATGTCCATGCTCAATACTCTCACACATACACAGACACACATACACCACAATTCACAGTGCATTGTCGGCCCATCTCAATATATTCCACTTTGGCTTTAGATAAAAAGCTGTGCATGAGCTAGGAACAGGAACTTGAGCTCCAGCTTCAGACTGGACTGGAGGCAGCAGCAGCAGCAGCAGCAGCGGGCAGCCAAGTGGTCAGAGGCATTGCATGCAAACAGCAAATAGCAAATAGAAAATAGAAAAGGGACAATCGAGCTTGCCTCACAAGTGCTTTAGATTTGCATGTGTATGCGTGTGTGTGGGAGCAGCGGTTACTGGATTCTGTATGGTGGGCAGTGGGTGTGCCATCGACTTGGTTTGCTACACCAATTGGTTGGCAAGCAACCAATGTGTGTGTGTGTGTGTGCGTGCGTGTGTATGTGAGCAACTCATCTGTCGATTTTATTGTTGTATGCATATCAAGGATACTCAAGTATGCTCGGCGCTAGGCTCAATGCATTTAAAATTTGATAATGGCCCAAAATGGTCTCGTATATTCAATAGAATCCATTTTGACGTTGATTTGGCCTATTTGCTAGCAATGCACATTGTTAACCCTTTTGTGCTCAGCTAATTAATTGAATCGATAAATACCCAATGCTCAATGCCCATTTACAGGAGCTTAGCCAGAATCGGTCTGCAATCGGACTGATATTTCAGCTGCTGAATAGAAGAATGGCTAGCTTAAACCGTTGCAACAGCAGTAAGCTCATTAGTAGGTTGGCCTTTGTTGATGTAAGAGATTTTAGTATTCATATGAAGTTGCATGGATTGAGAGAATATTAATCGCATATAATGAATATGAATATTATTAAATTTAATTAAATGTTACCAGCGTTCCTTCATTGTTTTATATTTTATAATAGATTGTTTTATAATTTATAATATAATAAGTAAAATCAAGAAATATATTTAGTAAAAAGAGCTTTTTTTTGGCATTAATCTGGATACAAAGCTTTTAAGAAACATTCAAGTATGTAAATTTAAAGAATGATATGGAATTTTTTAAGGTGTGAACTTTTACACACTTTAAGATTGAATATGGAAAGAAAGTGAAAGTTTAATGTTAAAAAAAAAAAAAATTAACTGCCAATTGTTTAAGTTCAACAATTTATAGAGAGTTTTTCCTATTTACATTAAAGAAATATATATATCCATATGAAAGATAAAGATAAATTATTCAGCCAATTTGAATCACTTTTAAAATAGCTTTAAAATATGTGTCTGAGAACATTTTCATATTTATGAGACAAATATTGTTGAATTCTTGTTAATAATCCTTCGCTTACCAGATTTATTTAAATTAATACATCTTACTTCACAGGATTAAACTATGGGCTTATGCTTTAAGCCAATGTCATGAAATATTTCTAGCTGCTGTCGCTTAAGCGCATGACTTGTGCCCTGTTGAACTCAAATCTTCCAATTAGCACAGGTCGGACAAACATACGCTCACACATTTATATATATGTATATACACACATACAGAAACACACGCACACGGTGTGGAGTGAGCATATTTAAATATCTCATCAAATTGACATTGCTGGAGCAAGTTTTCCATTTGCGTTGACAACTTGCCGAAATATGCGCAATGCTGACGACATCTACATTCAAAAACTTCTCGACATTTATTGCCTAGAAATGAGAATGTCCTGTGCCTCAGAGCTAGAGCCAGAGCCAGCTCCAGCTCCAGCTCCAGCTCCAGCTCCTGCTATTGTCCTTTGCCCTTATGCTCTATGCTGCTAAATACATTCCAGCCATTGTCGAGGTGACTGAATATTAATTTGATAATTTTACGCTCGAATGCAAATTTGGTGTCGAGTCTTTTGCTCTCTAATTGACTGACGAATATTTAAAATATGAATTTCAAATGAAGCTCAACAACTGTCCTCTGTCGCTCAATGCTGTGTGCTCGACTTTTTTTTTTCATTGCTTGAATCCATAGCAGAGTAGATGGTATAGGACAGAGTTAAGATAGTTCTGTACATATGTCTGCTTCACTGCTTATATTAAAATTGGACATTTGGCTTATTTGGTAAAGGTACATATAAAATTATTTCCTCAGTCTATCTGTTTGCTTTGTTTTGCTCTTCTATGATTTTTTTTTATGGTATGCATAGCCAGTTTATAATTTTATCTTATACATCTTACATAATATATACATCTTCTAATAATTGCAAGTTGTTTTAATAATATTAAGTAATATCAAGATTACATTTGTAAATATATCTAGGAGACTATAAGAGCAAAATATGTCAAATTTGGTATGCGGTGTCTTAAAAAAATAATTTGATTTTCTTTAATTAATATTTGCCCCCTAAATAAAAAATCAAATATGAAGTATTCCAGTCCTGATCTTTGCTTCCTTAAGTTCAGGATATTTTTCAACCATGCACAGCTTACTTATATATAATTTTTTCACGGCCAGGCCTTTCGAATCGCTTATGAAATATGAAAAATTTTAGTTTTGATGCAATACAACTTTTTTTTTTGGGCATATCTCGAGGACTACGAGAGTTTGAGCCACAACATTTGGTACCTACGTTATAAAATAACGAACGTTTATTACTAAATTCTGGGACTTTTCTCCCAGAGTTAAGGATATTTTCTGGCCGTGCAGTTTTCATTATCACTCACAATTTACTCTGTCTGGGCTTAATTGTGTTTGGGTTTGTTTTTTGATGGTGGTGCTGCTGCTGATGATGATGATGCGGCAAGCGATAGTCGCTGCATTTAGCTGTTGAAAATATCTCCAATGTCAGTGCATTAATCATTCGAAAGTAATTTAACGGATTTGCATGCGTTGCAGAAAACGATAATTTTCATCCATCATTTTCAAGTGTTTCCGCAGGATTATAATAGCCAGATAGACAGCGAACACACAGTCAGAGTCAGAGTCAGAGCCAGAGTAGGAGCTACACAGAGCAAGCATCCTGCAGACAGGCATTCAGTGCTGTTGCCTTGTCTTGTGTGTGTGTCTGTGTCTGTGAGAGAGTAACTCTCTGCGTATGTGTGTGTGTGTGTGTGTGTGCTCATTATCCATTGTCGTCGTCAATTATTCTTGTAGTACAGCACTTGTCGAGCTGCTCTCTGGGTAGCAGCCGCTGCAGCCTTTGCAGTTAGTTGATGAGTTCGCCTTTTGGCGACCAGAACTTCAGCCTGCCCAGTCCCAGCTCTGCCTCCTCCTCCTGCTCGCCTTCGACAGACGCCGCATGCTCCGCGTGATTTATGTGCCATGCATTGCTCATTTTCTTGGCTCTTTTGGTAAATAACGTCTTTGAGCAGCAAGTTGATCAATAGACCAACAATTCAGTTGAGTTGAGTTGAGTTCAGTTCAGTTCGATTCAGTGCTGCGTATTAATATTACGTATACGATATGTGAGCAACGGCCTGGCAGAGTCGGTTTGATTGTGCTCGCTGCCCACAATTTGCAGCAATAATGAACTTTGATTTTGGCCCACTGCACTTGCCTTTGCATTGTGTGTGCTGCACTAATGACTGTTGCACAGTTGGTGGCATGCCACAGCAGCTTGGGCCGGAGGGGACACCAGAGCTGGCATTGAACATTTGCGGCAAGAGCTATGATGAGTTCACTTCGTTAACGTGAGATGATCGACTACAGTTCTTTTGTTCTTCGGTTTGAATAAGATGCACATTAGGACATGAAGGAGCATAAATGAGGTCTTAGAGTGGGTGGTATTGTAATTAGAATACATATATGTTAGTCTGCACATCGAGGTTGAACTGTCTTTGCCACAGCTAACTCTTATTTACCTGACATTTCTTCTAATTATTTCCTTTGAGACTTTGAGTATTTACACGTATTTCCGCCAAATATTGCTTCAAATATTTCCTCTAAGTAACGCCTCTCTTGAAGTGAGCCTCTCAGTATTTCCACTAAGTAAATCCATCAAGTGTTTCTTGCTTCACTTCACACCTCACCAGGCTTGGGTGACTGACTGAAGAAATGGTGCAGCTGCTGCCCTTTATATAGGGCTGGGTTCACTCGAACACTAAGTTGCGCTCAAATGCTCGGCCCGGTACCAGGTAGTGTTCGTTGCAGTCGAGCATTTGAGTATACTCTCAATGGGACACTCTCTGCTGCTTTATGTAT